TAACTGTCAGGGAATACCTCCCTATCTAACCTACTGTGACGGCTTGTGAAGCATTTCAGTACAAGGATCAGGAAATACCTCCCTATCTAACCTACTGCTGGCTTGTGAAGCATTTCAGTACAAGGGTCAGGGAATACCTCCCTATCTAACCTACCGTGACGACTTATGAAGCATGCCAGTACAAGGGTGAGGGAATGCCTCCCTATCTAACCTACCGTGACGACTTATGAAGCATGCCAGTACAAGGGTGAGGGAATACCTCCCTATCTAACCTACCGTGACGACTTATGAAGCATGTCAGTACAAGGGTGAGGGAATGCCTCCCTATCTAACCTACCTTGACGACTTATGAAGCATGTCAGTACAAGGGTCAGGGAATACCTCCCTATCTAACCTACTGTGACGGCTTATAAAGCATGTCAGTATAACTGTCAGGGAATACCTCCCTATCTAACCTACTGTGACGGCTTATGAAGCATGTCAGTATAACTGTCAGGGACTACCTCCCTATCTAACCTACTGTGACGACTTATGAAGCATGTCAGTATAACTGTCAGGGACTACCTCCCTATCTAACCTACCGTGACGGCTTATGAAGCATGTCAGTACAAGGATCAGGGAATACCTCCCTATCTAACCTACTGTGACGACTTATGAAGCATGTCAGTACAAGTGTCAGGGACTACCTCCCTATCTAACCTACTATGACGGCTTATGAAGCATGTCAGTATAACTGTCAGGGACTACCTCCCTATCTAACCTACTGTGACGACTTATGAAGCATGTCAGTATAACTGTCAGGGACTACCTCCCTATCTAACCTACCGTGATGGCTTATGAAGCATGTCAGTACAAGGATCAGGGAATACCTCCCTATCTAACCTACTGTGACGGCTTATGAAGCATGTCAGTATAACTGTCAGGGAATACCTCCCTATCTAACCTACTGTGACGGCTTGTGAAGCATGTCAGTACAAGTGTCAGGGGAATACCTCCCTATCTAACCTACGTGGCGACTTATGAAGCATGTCAGTACAAGGGTCAGGGAATACCTCCCTATCTAACCTACCGTGACGACTTACGAAGCATGTCAGTACAAGGGTGAGGGAATACCTCCCTGTCTAACCTACCGTGACGACTTATGAAGCATGTCAGTACAAGGGTCAGGGAATACCTCCCTATCTAACCTACTGTGACGGCTTATGAAGCATGTCAGTATAAGTGTCAGGGAATACCTCCCTGTCTAACCTACTGTGACGGCTTATGAAGCATGTCAGTATAACTGTCAGGGAATACCTCCCTATCTAACCTACTGTGACGGCTTGTGAAGCATTTCAGTACAAGGATCAGGAAATACCTCCCTATCTAACCTACTGTGACGGCTTATGAAGCATGTCAGTACAAGGGTCAGGGAATACCTCCCTATCTAACCTACTGTGACGGCTTATGAAGCATGTCAGTATAAGTGTCAGGGAATACCTCCCTGTCTAACCTACTGTGACGGCTTATGAAGCATGTCAGTATAACTGTCAGGGAATACCTCCCTATCTAACCTACTGTGACGGCTTGTGAAGCATTTCAGTACAAGGATCAGGAAATACCTCCCTATCTAACCTACTGTGACGGCTTGTGAAGCATTTCAGTACAAGGGTCAGGGAATACCTCCCTATCTAACCTACCGTGACGACTTATGAAGCATGCCAGTACAAGGGTGAGGGAATACCTCCCTGTCTAACCTACCGTGACGACTTATGAAGCATGTCAGTACAAGGGTGAGGGAATACCTCCCTGTCTAACCTACCGTGACGACTTATGAAGCATGTCAGTACAAGGGTCAGGGAATGCCTCCCTATCTAACCTACCGTGACGACTTATGAAGCATGTCAGTACAAGGGTGAGGGAATACCTCCCTATCTAACCTACCGTGACGACTTATGAAGCATGCCAGTACAAGGGTGAGGGAATACCTCCCTATCTAACCTACCGTGACGGCTTATGAAGCATGTCAGTACAAGGGTCAGGGAATGCCTCCCTATCTAACCTACTGTGACGGCTTATGAAGCATGTCAGTATAAGTGTCAGGGAATACCTCCCTATCTAACCTACCGTGACGACTTACGAAGCATGTCAGTACAAGGGTGAGGGAATACCTCCCTATCTAACCTACTGTGACGGCTTATAAAGCATGCCAGTACAAGGGTCAGGGAATACCTCGCTACCTAACCTACTTTGATGGCTTATGAAGCATGTGAGTACAAGGGTGAGGGAATACCTCCCTATCTAACCTACTGTGACGGCTTATAAAGCATGCCAGTACAAGGGTCAGGGAATACCTCGCTACCTAACCTACTTTGACGGCTTATGAAGCATGTGAGTACAAGGGTCAGGGAATACCTCCCTATCTAACCTACTGTGGCGGCTTATAAAGCATGTCAGTATAACTGTCAGGGAATACCTCCCTATATAACCTACTGTGACGGCTTATGAAGCATGTCAGTACAAGGGTCAGGGAATACCTCGCTACCTAACCTACTGTGACAGCTTATGAAGCATGTGAGTACAAGGGTCAGGGAATACCTCCCTATCTATCCTACTAGGACGACTTATGAAGCATGTCAGTACAAGGGTCAGGGAATACCTCGCTACCTAACCTACTTTGACGGCTTATGAAGCATGTGAGTACAAGGGTCAGGGAATACCTCCCTATCTATCCTACTAGGACGGCTTATGAAGCATGTCAGTACAAGGGTCAGGGAATACCTCCCTACCTAACCTACTGTGACGGCTTATAAAGCATGCCAGTACAAGGGTCAGGGAATACCTCGCTACCTAACCTACTTTGACGGCTTATGAAGCATGTGAGTACAAGGGTCAGGGAATGCCTCCCTATCTATCCTACTAGGACGGCTTATGAAGCATGTGAGTACAAGGGTCAGGGAATGCCTCCCTATCTATCCTACTAGGACGGCCTATGAAGCATGCCAGTACAAGGGTCAGGGAATACCTCGCTACCTAACCTACTTTGACGGCTTATGAAGCATGTGAGTACAAGGGTCAGGGAATGCCTCCCTATCTATCCTACTAGGACGGCTTATGAAGCATGTCAGTATAAGGGTCAGGGAATACCTCCTTATATATCCTACATATAGTCCGTTTGGCTCAAAATCGACTGATGAATTGCAATCTAACTCAAAATAAGGGTCACATGTCATACCTCACTTATCATAATCTATATATAGATTTTGTGATTTTTTTGCAGAATTTATGTCCTATAAATAAAAGAGTTGTTTAAAGGTCACATGCAACCCCAAAATCAAACATAATTAAAACACAATTATCGCTTATTCATGACATATAATATACACTGCTGATTATGGAAAAACATATAAGCAAAATTATAAGCGTACAATCGCAAATCAAAAGTGCAATATTTTGTACTTGTTTACTTTCAAAGCGAAGCAGCAGCGGGATACGGTCAGAGCAGTGGGTGTGCACTCAAAGTTTCAAGGTTCATTTGCAGATGCCCTCCGGATTGTGTGAACCCAGTCAGACGCGGGTTTTGTAAATGCACTCATTTTTGTAAACATTTTGCAATCAACAGACATTAACATTCATGTGTACAAGTATTCCCTCACCTGTCTGTGTAATTACATTGTGTGTGAGACCATATATAAACCATTGCGTTTTGTTTATGGAAATAGCCTCATTTTTGTTAAGTTCAAAACATTTGGTCAGTGATCGAAGTTGAGTATTGAAAATTGTCATTAGCAGACAGGCAGGTGTAAATAAAACAGACATTGAGTTTTGTCTGTGACAACGACATATCTATATTACAGTTAGAAATTCTGTCAACGCTAAATAATGACATTGCTTTTAAGTATCAAACTGAGAAAGTGACTCAGTAAGAAGAACGTATGGTGAAATAGACAAATGAAATTATATAAACAGTTAAATCGGTAATCTACTGTCATAACATATAAAAAGCTCGCGCCTGTGAAATATCAACAAAACATTAGAAAAATAGCTCACACCAAAGCCTTCACCGAGTATTCACCGGACAACCCGCTTCCAAGCTGCGCGACCCTATTTCACTGCGCATGTGCTATGAGCGCAGCCCAGCTGTTGAAACCACTTTTCCCCCAAGCGCTGGGGGAAAATTAGTGAATCATTTGAACTCCGATTTCGCGCGGGTTTTTTCATCGCGTTATTTTTCAACTTTATAAGTTGAATTTGCATTTTTGATGATTTGTTTCGGTAAGTCCATACGGAAAGGTATCAGAATCTGCAAAGTTGTGTTTTACGTTGCATGTGACCTAACTATCATTAAAATTTGGACACGATTCACTATTTGTTACGAGGGAGGACTGCAAAGGGAGGAACAGCCAATTGTACACGGAGCACGTGTACAAGTGCCGACAAAGTTATTGAATCATTTACCTGTGCTGTGCTGTCTCCATCCTTTCTCCGTACCTTGCTGTTCCTCTCATTGCACCTCTCCCTCGTAATAAATAGTGAACGGTGTCAAAATTTTAATCAAGTATTGCTGTGTATACAGTAGGGGTGTTGCGATACGCGAATGTATCGATACATCGATACATTTTTACTGACGATACGATACGCGATACATGCTTGCGTGTATCGATTCCTATTTTAAAACTTTATCAATTCAAATTTTTATGCTATATCCATCTCTGTCAAAGTCTTGATAGTAAAATTATACCAGATGGCTCCGATAAATAGATGTAGCTAGCTTTACTTAAAAAATAAGTTGGAAACTAACAGCTTTTGTGATTGGCTAGACTATTTTGATGGACCAATCAGCGAGCGCGTACGTTGCCGGTAAGGTAATGCTATGAAAAGGCGCGATAATTATGTATCGCGATACGTATCGTATCGTGACCTTAAAATCGTGATACGTATCGTATCGTGAGATTGGTGTATCGTGACACCCCTAGTATACAGATCATGCTATCTTACTTAGCTTTACAATTCAAATTTAGGATGATGTCGTCATGGGAACTCTGACAGTGAGAGAGAATTTCCAGTTCTCTGCAGCTTTACGGTTACCCTCGGATACCACAAAGATGGAGAGAGATGCCCGTGTGAATGCTGTGATAGATGAACTTGGGCTGACTCAGTGTGCTGACACCAGGGTGAGATTAACACCATTGTTTGTAGCTTAGCCTAACTCTACAGCCATTTTAATGTCCATCCGTGTGTTGTTGAATCTGGGCATAGAACACTTTCACATTTCATCATAGTGTCTTGTTGAATCTGGGCATTGAACACTTTCACATTTCATCATAGTGTCTTGTTGAATCTGGGCATTGAACACTTTCACATTTCATCATAGTGTCTTGTTGAATCTGGGCATTGAACACTTTCACATTTCATCATAGTGTCTTGTTGAATCTGGGCATAGAACACTTTCACATTTCATCATAGTGTCTTGTTGAATCTGGGCATTGAACACTTTCACATTTCATCATAGTGTCTTGTTGAATCTGGGCATTGAACACTTTCACATTTCATCATAGTGTGTTGTTGAATCTTGGCATTGAACACTTTCACATTTCATCATAGTGTCTTGTTGAATCTGGGCATTGAACACTTTCACATTTCATCATAGTGTCTTGTTGAATCTGGGCATAGAACACTTTCACTTTTCATCATAGTGTCTTGTTGAATCTGGGCATTGAACTCTTTCACATTTCATCATAGTGTCTTGTTGAATCTGGGCATAGAACACTTTCACATTTCATCATAGTGTCTTGTTGAATCTGGGCATAGAACTCTTTCACATTTGATCATAGTGTCTTGTTGAATCTTGGCATAGAACACTTTCACATTTCATCATAGTCTGTTGTTGAATCTGGGTGTTGAGTATTCACATATCATCATTGTGTTGTTAATGAGATTATGTGCATATTACAAAGGCTGGTTATAGTTTATGTGAATATAAAGCTGGAGAGTAATAAGATGATGTGAATATTTATATGGGCTGGTTATGAGTTTATGGGAGTATGTAGCGGCTTATTAATGAGATTACATGAATGAGTTTATGTGAATATATATCTGGTTATTAATGATATTACATTATGATTGATCTAGGTTGGTAATGAGTTTATTCGTGGTGTGTCTGGTGGTGAGAGAAAGCGAACAAACATCGGTATGGAGCTGATTATCTCCCCTCCTGTGCTGTTCCTGGACGAACCAACCACAGGCCTGGATGCCAGCACAGCTAATGCAGTCATGTACTTGCTTAGAAGGTGAGATGGAGCTGAGGTGACACAGACTAGATAGATGCATGCACAGTCTCATATTTTTTATGGGATTTGACTTAAATAAGTTTGATTTTTTCCCAAATAGACAAAACAAAATGGCTAAATGTTTGATCAGACAGTATTGGTATTAAAAATACTCTTTGTATACTAGAACTACAGAAAGTGTACATCAATAATATAAGTCCCTATAGAATGGTCATCTTTCCCTTAGACTTGAGGTTTGTTTGTTTTACTTCAGACTGGCCTTGAAGGGTCGTACCATCGTGTTCTCCATCCACCAGCCTCGTTTCTCTATATACAAAGTGTTTGACAACCTGATGCTGCTGTCGGGGGGTGAGGTCGTCTACCATGGAGCAGCACCTGATGCTCTCCAGTACTTCAAGTCAATCGGTATGTCTCAGCTTCCTGTCACCCATGGCGTGATTCATATCCAACATCTTACTTACATGTGTTCTGAGCTCTTAGCACTAAGTTAGCAGCAGGGCTTACTAAACCAGTTCACCACGCGTGCCAATTGCTTTATTTCCATAGATCATGGAGAAAATATTTTCCAATTTAGAAATGTCATGGAGTCAGAAAGCAGACTCTACGAATGTAGATTTCTTTGATCCAGGTTACATCTGTGAGGAACACAACAACCCTCCGGACTTCTTCCTGGACGTCATCAACGGCGACTACGACACCATTGCCAACTTTGAGGCCCCAGACAAGAAAGAAAATGGTTTGTGGACTCATTTATTACAAAAGATATTGATCACGATTGTAAGACATAAAGCATTGTGAGAGTGAATAGGTGAAGACTTCAAAATGCTGTGTATTTGAGTTTTATGGAGTCATAACGGTCTAAAGTGGGAAAAAAGTGGAAAGAGCAGATTGTAGACATTAAAACGCAATTGAAACTCAGTGGTTAAAGCATGGCACTGGCAAGCGAAGAAAATGGGATAGAAACCCCAAATTGTTGGATGGAGACATGACCAAGGGATGTAACTCTCTACAACTACAGGGCCAGCCTGTTGTATACATTACATCATTGATGATAGAGTTGAGTGTTTTTCTTGTGTTGCCAGGTAACTTTACCTGTTAACATCAGCTTACTCAAATGACTGAATGTGAATGCAAGGGAATCCAGAGGACACAAGCCACCCACTGTTTGGCCGTGTGTTTAAAAATGGGGTTCCAAAGACTTGCTACCTGAATGTAACCATTTTAATTCAAATATAATTGCTGTAATCCAGATAAACTGGGTATTTGTGTAAAATAGGAAAGAAGAAAAAGCAAATTTTTACAAATGTCTGTGTATAATATATGCATTAATTACTACTTTTACGCTTTGATTAAAATAAATGTGTGCTGGCAACAATCTGGTAGTAATCAGAACTACATAAATATTTAGAATGAAAATACTGATACCCAGTTGAAATTGGAAATGCTTCATCAAATTGGAAACCATGGGTAAAATGCCCATTTGGCTGTATGCTTATCTAGAGCCCTGGTATTCCTTTGTTTTATTGATAAATAATATCATGCAGAACTTCTACTCATGTTTTGCTGAAACTGGACTTGAAGACTTCTCCTGCAATGACTTGAAGGACATACATAACCATAACTGACACAGAGACTTTGTAATAGTGGGGGTTTTGGTTATTTTTATTATTGTATTTTTCTACAGCCTGGTGAATGCACTCGTTAATGTAATTTTCATCAAACTTATTTTGCGAGTCCCTGTAGAAATACTGAGCAATAGCTCTGTGGATAAATGTGACTATGGTAAATTAACCATTTATCCTAAAAATGTATTGTAACTGATATTACTTGTCAGTTAGTCCAGCATACCTAAGTGACCACCATTGCACAATTATGTATATGCACCCACGCACATACGCACGCACACACGCACGCACAGACACACACACACACACACACACACACACACTGAGTTTTTCAAAGCTGAGAAGAAACTTAATTATTTCTTCATTCGCAATTGTGGATCTGTCTCAACAGAGTTGTCTCCCCTTTTTGTTGTCATTTGACTATTTCTCTGTTACAGTCCCATACCCCTGTTATTTTCACTTGTTGTATCACTCAGTGCTGACAAATGATAAATGATACATGGTTTAACTCCTTTTCTGGGGGGATAACTCTGTGTATTCTTAAATTTCATGTAAAATTACATTTTCAGAAAACAGCAATCTTCAAGAAAGTCTTGTACAGAGTTTCAGACAGTCACAGTGGCACGACAAGTAAGCATATTGCACCAACAGAATAACGTTTGAACTATTTAAGAAATACATGGTCATATAAGAGATAATGAAGAAGGTTTTATTCAAAAGTTTAGTTGGTTATCCTATGCATTATCCAATGTCAGCATGTGTGAAATATTCACATGAAAAAAAGTATCCCCAAAAACCACATCTTTACAGTATCAATATGTTACCAAAACCCATAGCAAAGGAACTTATTGAATCTTCAAGTTAACATACTATCTGTATAAACTGTGTTTCAAGGAATAATTCTAAATGCGAAAATAATGACTAGGCATAGTTTATTCCTAGAAGCAAACATGACAACAATGAACTCATTTAAATCCTCACAGAAAATTACATAAGTCTCAACAAACGAGCACAATTTCAATGTCTGGTGTAACCTCTGCCAACTGCAATAACATCTCGACCCTCCTCCTCTCTGACCACTATCAGACATTGAGGTATTCCGGTCCATTTTTTATGGAGAAATTGTTCCAAGATTTTGTATCATAGGATGTCTCTGGCGTATTCTGCAACCCATAAAATCCCAAACATGCTTTGTGGGATTGAGATCTGGTGTAAGAAATCACCAATGGCATCCACACAATGTGGCCTAGCGTTATCGTCCATGAAGACTGGCCTTGTGTTCGGAGGATGATCATCGAAATGTGGTACACCAACATGGGACTATAAATATGGATTTAAAAATCATAGGTGTTGTGATACGTTTTTCCATAAACCCAGTGAAAGTCAATGAGTGAAAACCAAGACATCTCGAATACACAATGCCATTTAGAAAGTGGTCAAATGTAACACGTTATATTTGGGATTACACTTTCTCAGTGAAGTACAAATTCTGGTACCGGTACTTTTGTTGGCTTGAGTCCCATTCAGTGCCTAGATTTTCGAAGCTCTCTTAACGCTAAGATAGTCGTAAGTTAATGTTAATGTATTGTACTTACGACTATCTTAGCTCTTAGAGATCTTCGAAAATCTAGGCCCAGATTTGAACCCACCCCCTATAGAGTCAAGCACTTGATCACCAGCACACAAGTATTATCCCAAACATGACATTTGTTACAAGACATCTTTGTCCACAATAATGTCAGCCAGGGTCTGCAGTATGCCTGTTGTGTGTCACGTGGTAAGAATCGAGATGCAGAAATGGAGTTAGTGCCCACTTGAACCCATCCTTATTGTGATAGGCAGGACAAGTGGATAGAGTAGTACGGCTTGGTTGGCCTTATGTCGTAATGGCAATGGATGCTGGTCTCAAGAGTGCAGTGCATGACAGGCAGCATCAAACACAAAGGTAGCTGAATAGCAACAGTGACAAAACAAGCTATTACATACATTATTACATACATTACATAAAACAAGCTACATACAGTTACATGGTGCACCCTGCACCATTCACTCACTCACTGATGGGGTAACAAACATCTTAAACAATCCAGCTTGTATGTGCAAATTGATCTACCCAATACATGATTAATTGCAGACTGATGGATGAGGTCACGGAGATCTATGACAAGTACATGAAGGATGATGAGAATGGCACAGTTGTTCGGATGCCACGAGTGCCCTATACAACGTCTTTCTTCAATCAGGTACAGATTACAAACCTTATTCGCTCGGCACATATTAACACATTTTAAGCTTTCATTCCTGCAGATTTTATTTTCTGACTCTAAATAATGGTTCAAATGAGAAATAGGAATATTAATTCATGTTTCAGCTGATGGTTGTCTCAGGAAGAACAGTAAGAAATATCATCCGAAATCCCCAGACCTCCATATTGCAGGTGAAGGCTGAATTTTATATTTTGGTATATTTTCTATACGTTAAGAACTTGAACTTGGGTTATAATTTAAAAAAATGTCAACAGGCAGTTCTGTTGGTAGGAACATCCCAAACACACCGAGAATTCGGTGATCTTACGGTTCAAATCCAAAGTCCCCCTGATTGTGTTCAACATCTTTCCCCTAAGGGGCTAACATCTACAATCTCTACCAAGTCCACCAAGCAATCTTAGTACTGTGACCTCTATAAGGCTATGTTTATGTGAGGGAGAATATTTATTATGTTCCTCGTTTATGTCTTTACAGCAACTCGAAGTCAATAGAGTGCTAAAGTGTGCCTGTTTATATGGTTCATTAGGGAATTTCCACAGATGTCAGGTTTATAACTGTTCAGGTTTTGTTTCTGAAATAGTTGATGGTAATGTTTTGTCATCCCATGATAATTCTCATTGTTTTCAGGTGTTTGTAATGATAATCTTTGGAGTGATTGTTGGTGCTATTTACTTTGATGTGGATGACACTGCATCAGCAGGGATTCAGAACAGGTGAGTCAGGAGACTTGCCTGTGTTGTTTCATCTGCCATTATATCCCTCCTTGTATGTATTGTCCCTCTGCATGGACTGAGAGATGATGTAGGAATGTATGCTGTCGAACTGCCCAAAAAATAGTTATGAGAACTATAGATATGAGAACATCAGTCGAAGTTAGCCAGGATAAAAGACGTATACACAGTATCAAGCGTATTTCTGGTCAGTCTGTAGTTACAGCTCCTGAAGCAGTTGATCATTGTGGACTTACTTTCCAAAGAATTTCGTTGATTTGTAGTTTCCATGAACAATCACTTTGAAGTGTAATTCATTTGTGTATGACTTGGTACTTGATTAATAAAAGTATGCTCCATGTATAAGTTTGGTTTAACACTAGATCTGCCATATAGATATGTTGACTGTTTCATTATTTTGTAATTATTGTTTACATTTATCGGAGTTCACCGAGACAAAACTGTTATTTCATCTATAACTTTGCTAAAAAGATATCAGAATTTGCCCATATCCGTTTTAGTCGTGGATAAGTTTTCTATCTGTGTATTAAGCCAGTCTGTGTACCGGGTGAGTTTGGTTTGCTTCCAGAGTCGGCGCATTCTTCTTCATCATCATGAACCAGGTGTTTGGCAACTTGTCTGCAGTAGAACTCTTCATCAAAGAGAGAGCCATTTTCATGTAAGCGTGAAAATATTTTGTTGCCATGATGCTAAAAGTCATTATAATTCTACTGGCTGTGAAGTCATTCATGAAGGATAGTTCTGATGACTGTTGTCACCATATATTTTGTGCATCCTTTTATAGTTTTATGCCCCCGCCATATATGGCTGGGGGCATATAGGGTTACCCTACATGTCAATCCATCCGTCCGTACGTACGAAACAGGGAATGTACTCTATCCACTTCTCCTCAAAAAACGCTCTGTGGAATTCAGTGAACTTATACATGGGCTTTCTTGGGACTCTAATGGTGTGCATCTGATATTTTGTTTTTGTATTTTATTGTTTTTTTGTAAGTTTAGAGACATTTGAACTTAGGTACATTTTGCTGAATTTTTCTATGATGATAGTGTAATAGGGGATGAAGTCTATCCACTTCTCCACAAAAACTGCTCAACAGAATTGATTAAGCTTATACATGTGCTTCATTGGGACTCGAAAGGTGTGCATCTCATAGTTGCATAGATGTTTATTGAACTTGTTCGTGAATTTTGTTCAATTATTGATCTTTATATGATAATAGGTTGTGTTGAACCTTCATGATATAGGTTTAATTGTAGTGTGGTAAGTTCATTGTGACATACATTTACAAATAAGTATTTACCTTGGACACTTTGGATATATTTATTTTATAATCAACCATGATATTTATTTAGAAGAAATTAATAACCAGAGCACACTCAGTGTAGGGAACTCTTTCTACAGCAGCGGGGGCATCCGTGTCCCAGGACACAATTTTTTCTTGTTTATTGATGTTTCAAAAACAAAGAATAAACCCCCAATTACAGTTAATTTACCTCTTAACGAGAGATCCAAAATTTGACAGTATGACTCTGCCACTGCAGGCATGAGAACGTGAGTGGCTTCTACCGTGTGTCGGCCTACTTCCTGGCTAAAGTCTTCTGTGATGTCATTCCCATGAGACTGGTTCCAGTAACATTTTTCACCGCCATTGTCTACTGGATGATAGGTAAGTACTTCTCACCCAGATCCTGGGTGTGTTTCTGCTCTGTTCATTCTCATGTTTGAAATAACCTTTATTGACATTGAACTGTATTGTTCCTGTGAAATTACTTGTAAAACAAGAAAAAGAGATTTTTTTATTTCACTGGGACGCAAACATTTTACTGTTCCAAAGATAGTCTTAACAGCATCTCTGAATCACATGTACATATTCTTCACAGCATCTCTGAAACACATGTACATATTCTTCACAGCATCCCTGAATCACATGTACATATTCTTCACAGCATCCCTGAATCACATGTACATATTCTTCACAGCATCTCTGAATCACATGTACATATTCTTCACAGTTTCTCTGAATCACATGTACATATTCTTCACAGCATCCCTGAATCACATGTACATATTCTTCACAGCATCCCTGAATCACATGTACATATTCTTCACAGCATCCCTGAATCACATGTACATATTCTTCACAGCATCTCTGAATCACATGTACATATTCTTCACAGCATCCCTGAATCACATGTACATATTCTTCACAGCATCCCTGAATCACATGTACATATTCTTCACAGCATCCCTGAATCACATGTACATATTCTTCACAGCATCCCTGAATCACATGTACATATTCTTCACAGCATCTCTGAATCACATGTACATATTCTTCACAGCATCTCTGAATCACATGTACATATTCTTCACAGCATCTCTGAATCACATGTACATATTCTTCACAGCATCCCTGAAACACATGTACATATTCTTCACAGCATCTCTGAATCACATGTACATATTCTTCACAGCATCTCTGAATCACATGTACATAGTCTTCACAGCATCTCTGAATCACATGTACATAGTCTTCACAGCATCTCTGAATCACATGTACATTGTCTGTTAAATTGTGATCAGACTGACAAATTAGTCCTCGATTCATGCTATTGACAACATACTCCAATTAGTACTGTTCAGCAAGAGTAATGATGATTACAAAAGAGCAGAGAAAATTCTCATGATTAAAGCAAGACCTAATTTGGCCAGTGACGATGGAGGAAAGTTCAGGAAACTACCCCTTTAAACATAGGTGCTTCCCAGTCAGTCAATTATTTCATCATATAAATGTGGCAAACGTACCTAACTCTTTACTACTTAGTGGCTAGTGCGAGTGACCAATACTCATATGTTATAATTTTTATAATTTTTTTATTTACTTGTAAAACAAGAGAAAGAGATTTATGATCAAGATTTCTGCAGTAGATAATGAACACATTTCATAAGAGTCGGATGATTATTTTTCCTTATCCTGACTCATGCTCTTTTGCTTGTCTTCTTCTTCTTGCGAACATAGTGGAACACTTGTATCTCCTATTGAAGCTCCCTTCAATTGAAACATACGTAAAATCACTAATCACTACTCACCAAGAGTTGCCCCTCTTTGCATCCACTGGCGGGAAAGACGGCGCCACCGTGGCCCACATGCTTCACTCTCTCCTTCTTCGCCCAGTGAGCAGGATGTGAGAGCACCTGTGTCTCCATACACACTATATCCTTTGATATTTCTTACTTAGTTACCTCTACAAGTCCCTTATAGAGGTTTAGCTAGTATCCTTCAACAATATGATTTGATAATTATTCGTATTTACTGCTGTTTATTCGCGGTGTATGCCGTGATTGTTCAGTAGGCTACGTTCATGAAAATCTGTACTGTTTGCAAGTTACGTTTTTCTGCTGCTGACCCGCATTTAATATGCCCTAGTTGTACTGTACCATGTTCTTTCAGTTCACGTTGCAGTTATTGTAATAATTTATCTAATTCTGCTTTTAACAAATATTTACTTTGCGTCTTGAGACGCGCAGCAGAAAGGTCACGTAAGCTACATCAAGGCATGGATAATGCTACCGAATCCCTCTCAAGTCAACTGCTGTCGGATCTGACCCTCCCGTCTGGTGTTCGCTGGAGTTTCCTTCGAGGAGGCGTGGGGCGCGAGTCCGCCGTCTCAAGAAGCGTCCTGCATCACCAGACATCCCGTCGTCGCAGCCTAAGACTAAGGGCATCTACTTCGCAGCGCAGACTCCGCACCCCCAGGGCAGCGTCTACCAAGGAGAAACCAACGCAGACCACACGAACTTTCTCGGCCGAGATCGTTCCCGCTGCAGAACAGGGCCTGTATGATGAGCAGCCGCTCATCATACCCGATATTCATCACAAGAAACGGCCAGTTTCAGCTACAGTGACATCAGCGCAGATCCGCAATCAGCCCGATGTATCAACACTGATGACTGACGATCTTCCCATGGGTCCCGTTGCTACCAACGCAGATAGGGCATCGCCTACATCTTGCAGACCGTCCCGGGCGACCTGGTGCAACAACTAATGAAGTTGATGGAAGACCGCTATGGACTGGAGAAGAAACAACCAGCCCAGGGCCTGAGCCTTCGCGAAGGCTCCAACGTAGACGTCACCCCTGAGGGACCTCCCATCAACGTAGCGGCTGCTACCAAGTCACCACTGAGGGCCCAGCCTGCGTGAAGGAAGTCACAGCCTACCTCTGCGAAGGACCCAGACGATCAGTATTCGTGAAGGACCCCTAGATCGTCACCTGCCTCGGACTCCGATGATCAACGTTCGCGAAGGCCTTCGCGAGGGAGGATCCTCTCATCACCAGATTCAGATGAAGCTTCGCGAAGGTCAAGTCGTCACTCCCCAGATGCGGACTCAGATGAAGCTTCGCGAAGGACACCAGTTACAGGCTCCAAGTCATCTTCGTACGGAAGTCATCGAGGGATTCCCCAGGAGTTTCGCGAAGCTATCATCGTCCTTCACCTCGCGAAGGTCGCCGTACAGACGCAGCTCGTCACGCCGTTCTCCACGTCGATCGCCTCGCCATTCTCGCAGATCGCCACGCAGGTCACCACGACGCTCGCCTCACAAGTCTCCGCGCAGGTCTCCAAGAAGGTCTCTGGACAGGACTCCACCTCAGTCACCTTCGGAAGAGTATCATCGGCCTCTAATCAGCGATCCTGTTACTGAAGATGATGGAGGCATCATATTCTCTGACGCGGAAATCCGTTACTGGATGGTCAACAACCTGGACTTGGCTTCACCTTCGAAGGACGATAATTCGGCTAACACCTATCTTATGAGGGAGGACGATGCAGACACGATCACCCTACCTCCGATTGATCCGATAGCAACGGTTCCACAGAACCTGGACACAGCCTTCCAAACAGCCACTAAAGCTCAGGCGCCGCACTTACCACAGTTCAACGCCAAGAAGTTCTCTGCCCATAATATGGACCCCTTCCTTAAAGCACAAGAAATCGACGATAACTTTAAGGTCATCAACGATACCAAGGCCAAGGCGTACAGGATCGAAGACCGCAAGCTGGCTCAAGTCGAGACTTTGACCAGAAGAATGTTTTTCGGCCTCAACAGATCCAGGACTATCAACGAAACTCTCATCACTAGGTTTCGAGAATCCACATCAGAAGACGACAGAATGATATACTCGGCCCTCCTTATGCAAAAGAAGGACCAACAGTTCATGACGGATCACCTTACATCCATCTCCGCAGCTCTTACACTGGCTCGTCGTCAAGGTCTCCTCGCCAACTGCAGTTGGGGTGAACAGTTTACAACACCGCTCTACACAGCCCCGTGGTCAACTCCATCCATCTTCGCTGGAGGAATCGATAAAGTCTCTAAAGAAGTCACCAAGGATTCAAGAGAAGTCCTCATGATTAAATCGATTGACACTTTGGCCAGCATCATCAGACAGACATCACAAAGATATTCTGGAAGATCCAAGTTTATTGGTCTACAAAAAGCACGGGACAGGAAGATAGCCGGCTTCAGAGGTGGAAAGGACTCTTTTAGGTGCGTCCATTCGGCAACTACAGGGGGGAGGATCTGGAAGAGGCAGGACACCCAGAGGCTCCCGCAACTATCGTCGATGAAAGACGGGTTCAGAACGACTGGAGTCTTCCACCCCCAGCTGTCCCTATACAACCTTCACAAGTGGGTGGACGTCTTCAACTGCACTGGGAGAACTGGGGAATACTACAAGATCCATATGTCTCCAACATCCTACAACACGGATATCGCATCCAACTACAGGCCACGCCTCCGCTTACAGTCAACCCTCACAAGTTCGACTTCCAGGCACAACAACTACTGAAGTTACGAGAAGCTGTTTCATCTCTCCTAACCAAGCAGGCCATAGAAATCGTGGATCAAGTAAACATCAAACCAGGTTTCTACTCCCCAGTTTTCCTAGTGCCCAAGAAAAATTCCAAGGAAAAGTTCCGACTCATCTACAACATGAGCACGTTCAACAGGGATTATCTACGCAAACCGCCGACGTTTCGCATGATACATCTACCTCAACTACTGCACCTCATTCGTCCGATGGACTACATGGCCAGTATAGATCTACAGGACGCCTACCTGCATATCCCGATACATCCCGACTCGAGGAAGTACCTACGGTTTACACTAGACGGGCTACATTACCAATGGAAGGTCCTACCGTTTGGAATATCATCGGCCCCCTGGTTGTTTACAAGAATAACGAAACCCATCGTCACTTACCTACATCGTCAAGGGCTACGCAGTGCGTTCTACCTCGACGATGGGATTCAAGTAGATCAAGATCCAGAACGTCTCAAACTACAGTTGAATTCCACCATCAAACTACTAACGCAGCTAGGATGGTTAGTGAATCTACTCAAGTCGGACCTAGAACCTACGCAAAACCTGCAATTTCTAGGCATCAGATTTCTCACGACACAGAACCGTATCGTCATACCAGAGGACCGATGGCTCAAGATTCAACAGACGATCCCTCAAGCCTTACTCTCTCCGTTACCACTACGCCAGTGGCAGAGTCTGTTGGGTCTCCTCACGTCAGCACAAGACATGACAGCCAGAGGCAGACTACAGTTACGCCCCGTTACAGGTCCTCATCAACGCCCATCTCGACGACCTTCAACCCT